CATTTATGTATAATAGGAAAAGCAATGGGCCCAGAATGCTACCCTGCGGAACTCCCACGGAACAGGGCAGAGACCCGGACACAAAGCTTCCAATTTACTGAAGCTTTGTTTCTTGATCTGTAGTCATGTTTGTGTTCACCTGAAAGCACAACTAAAACTCACTGTCTCTGCTTCCCTTTAGCCCCGCCCACTTTGACTTAACTCTAACCGTGACTGGTTGAAGCTTTGGACGGGTTCAAAACTCACATGCAGTTGAGCATTAGTTCAGCACAGTGGATCACTGGTTAGCACAGACGCCTCACAGCAAGAAGGTCCTGGGTTTGATCCCCGGTTCAGACATGGGGTCTTTCTGTGTGGAGTTTGTATGTTCTCRTCGTGCTTGTGTGGGTTTTCTCTGGGTACTCCGGTTTCCCTCACTCCCAAAACCATGTACAATAGATTGCCTTCAGACCCAGGCCTCCCTTAAAAAGAGATCTGGGGTCTGAATGGGACTTATCTGGTTAAGTAACAAACAAACAAACAATAAACAAATAAATAAATAAAACTTTCTCCTCAGAAACGGTTGTTTATGCAGAAACGCAGTCACTTAAAGGGCGTCCCGCCTCTGTTACTGCAGCAACCAGTGTTGGGGGATTGCATCAACATGTGTAATCACAGAAGTGTGAGAAAGCACAGTGAGGTCATGTCTCACACACCAACATGTTCCTGAAGCAGCTGCAGCTGAAACACAAGGACCTGCAAAGAAAACCAAGGTGTGACAGGCACCTGCAGACAGGATCAAAAAACAGATTGTTTTGTTTTTTATTTCAGATTAAAACTGAAAGAAACTTGGAATAAGTGTGGAAAACAGCTTCAAATGTGTGGTAATTGAATTTTGAGCTCCACACTTTAAATGTTTTTGTCAAAATTGGAGCAGAGGCACTATAACATCATGAAAGTCTTGCATGACGTGCACCTTCTCTCAGAGTTTAACCTCTTATGACCCAAGGGCTTTTCTTGAAGTTTTTACTGCAATGTAACTGAGTATCTCAACATTTATAAACTCTACTTAAATAATCTTGGTATCAAAATAAAGCTAACATTTGGGAGATTTTATTAGAAGTGTAAGTATTAAAACAACTGCTGCGATTTTAGAGATATTGAGGATGGAACATAATTTTTTCACTCTCACCTGAATAATTTTTTCATTAGACAGTATATAACCATTTAAAACCATAATGAATCAGACTAAAAACTCTTGGAAACCATAAATCCACTTGTGG